TTTGGGTCACGATTACGTGGAGCAGGGCGGCGATACTGCTGTGGGTGGCTCGGGGTAGACGAACTGACAGCGCCGGGACGGTGCACAGAACAGACTGTGTGAACACCCGCGTTGGCTAGTTCCTGGCGAACAACGGTCTGTATTAGCGATATGGTCGGCTGAGGATCACTCGGTGCCAGTGCTCTCAAGGGGGCGGGTGAGATGGCTTCGATTTCACGGCGTACAATTCTCGTGATGTCACTGGAGTGTGAATTGGGCAGGGTCGGTACACGGAGATCCGCACATGTTGACGTCGCAGCAGTGTTGGGAAGGCGCGTAAAGTGGTAAGCAATGCGACGGCTTTTAGCCTCTTGAAACTGTTGGCACTCCAAGATAACATCTTGCACGGTGGAACAGCCTTTGCACACAATGAGGTTAAATGCATCGTCTGCGATGCCCTTGAGCACGTGCGCTACCTTGTCGGCTTCAGCCATGGTTCGGTCAACTTTACGGCAAAGGGTCAGCACATCTTGAATATACGCCAGGTAGGACTCCGTGGACGTCTGAACACGTGTGCCAAGTTCTTTCCTAGCGGCCTGCTTGCAGCCGGCAGATTGACCAAACAACTCGCGTAATTTGGTCTTGCATACGTCCCAGCTTGTGATACCGTCCACATTGTTATTAAACCACGCCTTGGCCGTTCCTTGTAAATAAAAGATGATGTTTGCCAGCATTAAGGTTGGGTCCCACCTGTGATTTGTGCTGAAGAGTTCGTAGAGTTTAAGCCACTCATCCACGTCCTCGCCGTCCGTTCCCGAAAAGTTGCCGGGATCGCGGGGTGGAGCGGCCACGAGATAAACAGGAGAGGTCGGCGCCATTGATGCATTGGGCGTAGCAGTTGAGGAAGCGTCGCTGCCGGTGGACATGTTGGGAGCAGAGACTAGGCGTCCGCTGCGTAACTCCGTCGTGCGTTGTAACCCAGCACCTTCCACCAAAATGTTGCGTGAAGGCACAAGGGAAACTAGGCGTTTTAAAATATATTTACACAGCGCCAACGCGCAAGCCAAGATGGCGAACAAGAGAGAGCGCGCGCACACACCAGTCACCTCGTCTTCCTCAGCGCCTATCTCACTGTTTAAGTGGGGCATTGTCTCGTAACAATATCTTAAGTGATAATAGAGCCGTGAACACATCACGAAGTAGCCATTTTTGAGAGTCATGTCTTCGCGACGCACAAGCAGCAGACGACGATCTCCCGGAGCGAGCATTGGTCTAATGGCGAGGAGAGCTGAGGCAACATGGCAGCCACAGCCAATCAAGGGCCTCAAAACAACCTGCAAACATTTGCTTTTTGTGCGCTTGTTGTTAAAGGGAGGAGCCAGCTGAGGTGAGAAAGTTAAACATGGAGAAATGCTCTTTCCGATGAGCCCAAGAAGCCGGCTCCCGGCCCAGTTATCGCGAAGCTATAGTTTTTTGAACATCGCTGTTTTCTGACCATTTCCAGAAAAAGTTTCGCTACCTAGGTGGGTGAAAGGAATTTTCCGAAGCACTGCGCAGTTTTCAGTGTAGATATTTTGGACCCAGATAGAAAAAGGGTTTCAGAAACTGAAAACTTAATTTTCAAAAAATCGATTTTTTCGCCATTTTTCGCCATCCCAAAGTCGCGTCGCCCCTTAACTGTATATGAAATGTAGGAGAGAGAAAAGGAAGTGGGTGTACAGGCTGCAGCGTTGGGGAAGAGAGGAGAGACGAGACCAAAAGCCTGCATAAATGAGGAAAGTGGCAGCGAGAGTAGGTGCATGCCCAGCGGTATGCTAACACCACTGGATCAAGCTTACTCATAAAATGATACGCATCTAAAAGAACACGTTAAAGCAAGCGGTGCAAAAGAACGACACAAGCGAGGAATAAGTACACAAGACAAGCGCTAACTTCAAAACTAAATTCCTCAAAGATCAAAACAACCTATTGTCACCAAATAAAAAAAAACCGGTACAATTAATTCTGGATTTTGAGAATAAAATTTATTCTAAAGTTAGCACTCTTCTCATTTACTTTTTTCCTCATTTGTGTGGTTCTTCTGCGTTACTAGCCTTAACATTAGGCTTGTGCAAATAGTGAATTTTAGGTTTGAAGCGAATTCGAAGCGAACAGTGATTTGGTTCGAATAACTTCAAACCGAATTTGAATAGAATATATCATGTATAAAGAAAAATGGGCGTATTTATCATGACCTAGCTAACCTGCACAATATTTGTTTTAAACATGGCCTCTATGCAAGAGCTTTTGTCATTTTTTTTCTATTCAAAAAAGTCTAATCAACTTTGAAAAGTAGCAGAATTTGACTTTCAGTAGGATGCAAGTGATAACCTGTAAAATTTGCAACATTATTCATTGCACTTAGAGTGTGTAAACCGGCAAAACGAGCTTTTAAGCTTAGAAAATTATAAATCGATTTGAGGATAGTATGTTCATTTAAAGGGACCCTGCAACAGTTCTTCAAGTGGCCATGGAATGGATTCACTAAAGAAGCTTATTTCCTTCTGAATTAACCACCGCAAAAATCTTTAGAATCTGTCCAGCATGAGCGAAGTAGCAAAGATTTGCCATATACTGCAATTGTATTCTCTCTTCTCGTCCTGCCCAGCCGTAATGGCCTAGTGGCTAAGGTACTCCACTGCTGACCCGCAGGTCACGGGATTGAATTCCGGTTGCGGCGGCTGCATTTCCGATAGAGGCGGAAAGGTTGTAGGCCCGTGTGCTCAGATTTGGGTGCATGGTAAAGAGCTTCGGAAGCCCTCCACTACGGCGTCTCTTATAATCGTATGGTAGTTTTGGGACGTTAAACTCCACATATCAAAACAATCTTTTCTCGTCCCAATGGAAGCGCTTGAAGAGAAGACGGGAGAGATGTCATGCATAGGGTAAGAAAATATGTCACACGCCTGCTGTGACCTTGAGCGCTCTTTGTTTCTCTTTTTTTATTTGAATTCGCAGATTTTCAGTGCGATGACGCATGTACGCGTGGACATGCCACAGCCGCCCGCAGCAGCAAGAGTAACGACCGAGCGCCTATTACTCAAATCAGTCTTCGGCTGGTAGAATGGCTGAGACTAGCGATTTTTGTAGGCTTGTGCGAATAGTGAATTTTAGGTTTGAAGCGAATTCGAAGTGAATAGTAAATTTGATCGGATAATTTCGAATCTAATTTGAGTGGTATGTATGACATATAATAAAAGAAAGGAATATTTATCATGGCCTAACTAACGTGCACAATATTTCTTTTGAACTGAAATAGGGGCTCTATGCAAATACCTTTTTTTTTTTTGTTCAAAAGTAGTCAAAACAACCATCAGTACTAGTTTCGGTAGGATGCGGGTGATAACCTGTAAGATACTTAATGTTTTAAAATTTATTATACCTGGAGCATATAAGCCGTCATAAAAAGCTTAATAAAACGAAGAATTGATTTGAGGGTAACATGTTAAAGAGCCCTTTTAAATTTAAAAAAGAACTTTGCGGCAAAGCAAATTTTCCCTGAATCCGTGCTTTCACGGCTCAACACTCCTACATTGTAGTGAAACCACCTTTACAAATGGTAACATGCGGATTTATATACATTTATTCGTTCATTGCGAATACTTCGAAAACATTACATAATTTGAATTCAAATCGAAGCGAATTTGAATACTCAGCTTGTCGTTCGAATATTCGCACAAGTTTACATTTTTGGCATTGTGCCGTCATTTGCCAAGTGAGCAATTTTTATCCGAGTTTGGGATTTATTGTGAATTCTAGGTCTCGTGCTGCGCTATATTATTTAGCTCGCGTGTTCTCGGTAGCGTCGTCTACCGATCGGCAGCGTTTGCTGACCATGCTCAAAAAGTGTTGCAGGGCCTCTTTAGGTTTGAAGTGAGGCTTCGCGGCGAAGCAAACTTCTATTAAAATGTTTTCACGGCTTAGCACTGCTATCCTGCAGTCAAAACACCTTTACAGGTGGTTACATGCGGTTTAGTATACATCTTTTAGTTCATGTCGAATACTTCGAAATATTCGATCATTTAAATTCAAACCGTAGTGAATTCAAATATTTTACTATTCGTTCGAATATTTGAAGCATTCAACTATTCGCATAAGTCTACATAACACGCATTCTTAACCCAGCTTTATGTTTGCATAAGAAAAAAGAAGAAAAAAAAACACTTTGATGATGGCAATTTGCACGATGCATTCTTCTTCTAAGATAATTATCCATCTCTGCTTTTGCCGATATTTTTCACTGATTTATACGTACACTCGCATCTCGGAATTCTCAGTTTCCATAGTATGAATGAAGTTCTGCAGTCCCCTCAACCTTTAATTAAGGGTCTACCGTTTTCATAAGCTGTTTGCATTTTATTTCCTATCAAAAAAGTTTTACGAGAGCATAACTGCTGGACTCGTCTCTGCTGTCGCAAGCATAATTCAACATTACATCTTCCAGAGTCACAAATTCTTTCTGCGCATAACAATGTTGTGCTGAATTCCAAAGTCAAGTACGGGCACCGCTTCCGTCTGAACACATTTACACTCAAATTTCACAGAATGAAAAGATGGTCATTACATGTTGCATTTCTGAAAGGGCCATGTTCCGATTCAGTGGTTGCCTATCTTGCGCAAAAGATATCGGGACAACAAACCACTTGCAAGAGGCAAAACAAAGGCACCAGTTTTTGTCACTAATAGCACAACATGGCATGCACAGACTTAAGCCGTAACTGCACACGAGACACTGTCACACTGTTGCATGTTGCAGAGAAAGCATAGACCTGCATGGCTTCGTACAGACAGCATATCGTTCGTTTGTTCTGTTTGAAACACCCAAGCGTGGCATCAAAACATAGCAATAAGTGACATACGCCAATAAATGCCCCCCACATGCAAAACCCGAGTGCGAGTAAGACAATGGTGTAGCCGAGACAGCCAATAGACGCCGTCTCCGCTACGTACTTGAAATGTACTCCACAAAAGGTGTGACGTACCGCTTCTCCTTGTGTGCTGCACCCAGGTTACAGAGGCAGATGAGGCAATTGTTGAGCATGTCGAGGGACAGCACCCGGTAGTCTGCAAGCTGTCCCTGGCGCAGCCGCTTCTCCGCGGCACACTGGCACTTCCGCACTAGCTCGGGCAAGGGCACCTCCACCACGTCGCTGGGCTGATCGCGCAGGAAGACGCACACCGTCTGTGCAGGGCATGGATAACAAAAGGCATCGTTAATGCCACCGATGGCATTGTCGTGACGACTGCGGTCCTATCTGTGCGCCATCATCACTTGAGCAGACGAAAAGGTGGCGCTTCCAAGTGGCCTGTACCGAGAAATTTTCGTCAGGGGTGGGAACATTAGCCTTGCCCATTTGAGAAAAACACTTCCATTATTTATTGCCGGTGAGCCCTCACCCCCCCCCTCCACCAAGACTTCAGAAGCCCCTCTGGCTACGCAGGCCTGGTTCGAGCGGGTTAGTAGAGCTGATTTTCAGAATAGCAGCAGCACAGAAACATGACAAAAGACAATAGGGGACACCTCCTGTTCTGTTTCCATCTAACCATTATACTGTTTTCATTAATCACTGTAAACTGTGCCTGCATATTATGTTAAAGATGATGTTAAACACGACGTTAATGAGAACACCGTTTTATGTAATCACTGCAATGATCACACTGCTCAAGTGCCTCACGGATGTCCCGCAGAGGAATGTTTTGAATAGGTCAAAAGTACTCCAGATGTTCTTTCATCAATAGAAACAGAAATATGCTTTCGTCACCATGAGCAGGGCTACTCTAAGGGCAAACTCGAGAAATTTTCCCAGGTCGATGTGTTATAGAGCATTGACATGATGGTCGAAAAAGATCAGTCTAGGCTAACGGACTCATGAGCGACTCACTCGGACTAGGATCCAGGCATGAGTCTCAGTCTGAGTGAGCCCAGGTGAGTAATATTTTGGCGAGTGCGAGCCCGGTTTAAGAAAATTTTCGCAAGTGTGAGTCCGAGTGAGTCCTAAGCATAAGATATATTTCATGAGTGAGTCGGAATGAGCTCCACCAATTTAGCCGACCTATGCCAATGTGTTTCTCATTTTCTTGCTAAAATTAGCATAACTGAAAAAATTTTAAGGCTGGTCTGGTATTTTGGCGTAACATAATGCAGGGTGGCGCAATTATAACGAATTACACGGTTTCAACTTGGTTCGCCACAAAAATAACAAATCTTATCAAATTAGCACGATTGGCGCAGCTGTTGTGTTGAACACGTGCATCTAGGAGAGCTGCTCACCTGAAGCCCCTCGAGGAAGGGTGTCATGTGACTAGCGAGGAAATGCAAGCTGCTCGTGCTCTCCGGAGAAGCCGGCTCCAGCCGGAGGACGGCAAGCACGTTGAGACTCTGCAGCGCGTACGTTGCCTCCAGAAAGCTCTGCGACGGATTGAAAAAAGTAGAGGCGTACAAGTTCAACTGTTTTACGCACTAAAACGACAATGTGGTCACAAGGAACGCAGTAGTCGAGATAAATACTATGGGCAGATTCTGACCACTTCATATTCTTTAAAAATTGAACTAAGCAAGTTTTCTAGCACTTGAAGAATGCTGAAGTGCAGACACACGAGTCGTAATAAAACCTTAAATTGTGAGCCGAACGAAAGAATTCCTTGTGCATTCACCTAAGACAACTCGATGTGGAAAGCAATCTTCTTCGTCGCAGTCGATAACGTACAAGGGAGCAGAGCTTCACGTGACACTGCGCAGCGCCACCTTCATTTTCTCTTGTCGAGGTCGCGCACTTTCCTGTTTTGGTCGTTGCCCAAAAGAGAGCACTACGAGGCGTCATGTGAAGTTGTGGAGACGCCGTCGCGTGATGATGATATTTTTTTGCATCACTTTTCACAGACGCCTTGGAATGGTCACCGCTGATGGTCAAGTTTCCCGTTCAATGAGAGATCCAATGTTTTCACCTTAACACCGCTGTACTACAATTATGTTAAGCACCAAAGTTGTACGATACATGTGTAAACCACTCCTCTCCCTAACTCCATTAGGCACTGACAGCTAAAACACGTTGGTGGGCTAGTTGGTTTGCATCTATGAATTGTGAGTAAGCGCGACTGACGAGGACGTAGAAGGAGACACGGACGTGTCCGTGCCGATTTCCTTTCATATTGTCGTTGTCACACTTGCTCACGATTCGAGCACAGAGAGTATTTTACACATGGTGCACGCATTGGCACATACATATTAACTTTCAAAACATTGTAGTGTGACGTTCACCAAAAGCCACTCACCAAAGCCGCATGCATGCACTTCCGACAACACAGATTCACCCCGGGCCCAAGTGTACAAATACGTTGGGGTTATCTTACCACACAACTTGCAGTGATAGCAGCATATTCATCACATCACATTTAGAGCACTGAAAAAATTAGCTTACCTACAACGTACGTCGTCCAAATCTGAAATGCACTAAGTTACTGTTGTATAAAATACTAGAATGTGCTCCATGTGTCTTGAGCCCGTATAAAATATGCGACGTCAACAAAATTGATTCTGTACAAAGGAAGGGGGTTCGTTTCATTTGCCATCGCTATGATCGTAGCTTTTCACCTTCATCAACCCCCCGCCGCGGTGGTCTAGTGACTAAGGTACTCTGCTACTGACCCGCAGGTCGCGGGATCGAATCCCGGCTGCGGCGGCTGCATTTCCGATGGAGGCGGAAATGCTGTAGGCTCGTGTGCTCAGATTTGGGCGCACGTTAAAGAACCCCAGGTGGTGGAAATTTCCGGAACCCTCCACTACGGCGTCTCTCATAATCATATGGTGGTTTTGGGATGTTAAACCCCACATATCAATAAATCAATAAATCAACAATCAGTCAATCACCTTCATCAGCGATGAATTCCTCGAAACTCCCTCTCCTATCAACCATACGGAGTCTCGATTCCTTGAAGCTGCTGCACTCATTTGTTCACTCGTCTTGTCAACTAAGTTCATACGTTTACATCTCATATGCTAACACTGTTTCAACTGGACGTTACCAGAGCCTCAACTGAAAGCCTTTCCTTACGCGCACAAACTTCTTCAAGAATTGTTATTTTCCTAGAGTTATTGAACGGCAGTAAAAGGTAGCAGTAGGTCATGAAAAGCAGTGGTAGGTAGTGGAAGGTAGTAGTAGTGAAAGGTAGAATACTACCGGGTATTACCCAGTAGTATTCGTGAATTGTTGTCAGATTTTGTAGATGCCCTGTTATGATAAATCATTGTTTGCTTTTGCTGTGATGTCAACCTTGTTAACAGTGTATTTTGTTTTGATGATGAGAATGCACTCTACTCCTGGAATAGCCCTGCATAGGGCTGCAGTATTTGAAAATAAATATATAAACAAATAAAATAAATTTGACACAAACCAATTAGTCAACCAATACTGTTGTTGGTGAGAGCCTATGAATGTCGGGGTAAATATGCCACTGTAAAACTTGCACAATCGATACCGTTCCTTTTTTATTTCACTTTGTACAAATTACTCCTTTTTAATTGCCTGCAGGGCTAGTGCAACAGTGGAAACTGACGTAGAGCAACAGAGGCAGCGGATACCATTTACACAAGCAAATACGATTTCGAGATGGCCCACTGTATGCTGCCTTAATGATAATTGTGCCTCGACTCTCAAACCGGGGCACTTTACAGAGGTTGTCTGTGGCAGCTCACCCTTCCAATATCAACATACATGGTAGAGAGGAAACTATGCAGAGAAAGAATAAACGCTCGACGAAGACTCATGGTTTAGAGGGATGCAAAAGAGAAGAACGATCTTTCTTATATCGGCGAACTGCCCTTTCACAATGGGAGACCAGCGCTAGATAGGTGGCGCACCAAAAAAGGACCCCTTTGCAGGGGGTCTCGACATAACTCAACCGCTTGCGCAGACGACCGGCTGTAGGGTACTGCTGCGAGCGCTCGCACGTGAGCCGTTCCCGTGCTTGAGTTTAGCACAAACAACTCAAGTAGCCTTGGGCCCGTAATACTGCAGCGTGCTTCAAAAGAGTTCACTATTGGCAAGTTGGTGCTTTGACATGAAAACTATCGTGAGGGCGCAACTGAACACAACGCACAGAAAGAACCAGACGTGGACAGGTGTAAACTACTAACTGTTGGTAGTTCGGTTGCCTGTCCTCATCTGCTTCTTCCTGTGTTTTGTGTTTAGTTGCGCCCTCACCATGGTTTCTATACTGCAGTGTGGTTCACTTCATCCCTCGATATCACTTCACTTCATCTTGAGGCCACTTTCGTAAGAAGGTGCTGAATAACGGAGAGAAACTCTGCAAAGCGGATTACGTCAATAGGAGCGGCCTCCTGCACCAAACGCTTGGGCGTCGTAGATTTTGACGACCTCTGCTACTGCCCACGTCTTTTAACCATTTCGCGAATGTCGACAAGTACAGTCATAATGAGATTTTCTGACAAAATGACCTATGAATGAATATACTTGTCAGCAGCACAAATTGGTTCCGCAAAAAAGTGATGAAGACAATACTCATCACACTCGTGTTTTATGACGCAAGATCGCCACACTTAACCGCCCTGAGACACTAGTGTGCTGGATTTTATTTTATTGACAGTTTTCAATCAGATTACCATGCAGTGAAGCCACCTTTAAGTTCTCTTTTTCAAATCGATTAGTAAAATGAAGCAATGTCATTGAATTGAAAGAACGGTACTATTTTCTTCAGAAAACAAAAAAGATCTAGAAATTGAGCAGAGAGTAATTTTTAATAATTTTGGCACATGTTTTTTTCTCTTCTTTTCGTCACAAAAATGTTAATAGGTAAAAATGAATCACATTGTGTTTTACACGGAGCCAGAGACATCACACAGAAAGTCTCGGAAAATATTTATTAAGCCTCAATGTTTCACAAGTGAAAAAAACAACAGAAAAGCGTGGAAATTCGTGACATTATGCCTGAAATATATTTGAAGCGCATTTAGCAGAAAATTTATGAAAACGTTTACCTTCATTTTCTATTCTACTTAGTAATCCTATAACAGTGACATTAATTGCAGCAGTGTATCCAAGGAAATATTCTTTCGCCTAATGTATTATTTTTCACTCTAACAGCACAATGCCATAGCTAACAAGCCATCACAACACAACAACACAGTTAGAAAAATTCCACTCACCTCTTCCAGTTTGTCCACCTCAAAAACAAACTCCCGCTGGAGTAGGCTCTGTAGCTTCTTGAAGTTCTCGTACACTGAAGCTGAAAGCGAAAGAGCGAGCTTTGAAAAATCAAAATGGCTACTGTTCAAAAAGTGCTCTAGTTTACTATGTCATGTAACCTGTGAAGGAACCAAGCAAAGATGCTACGCTTGCCATTTGTGCAAGCAACTAATCCTTATACTCGACAGTTTCACAACTACAGCGATCATCATTAGCAGCATCGCAAGTCTAGGTCATTTCCACAGCATCTGCAATGTCCTCTGTCTACAATCCCCAACTACGCTTCCGCTGTATCCACAGACACTACCGTAAAAATTATAATATAGGTTGGACCAAAATAAGGTCGACCCCCCAAATTTCGAATCTCGGAAAAAGAAATTTAAAAAAGCGCAAAGTATCACGGCGCACCCTTCTGTTGGTAAACAGTAAATACATGACACAACCAGCTGCACTGTGGTGACATTTCTTTTTATTTGAACATTAATCTTGTGCAGTTAAACGCCAGAAGGCCACAAAGTGCTGTCACCCATACTCGTCCGAACTTGAGTCCGACGACGACAGTTTTACACTAGCAACGTGCCAGAGTTTTCCATTCAATCCAATGCATTACTGATGCAGCATTTGCCGAAAGACGGAAGCACAGTGCCACAGCGCAAAGCTCTACCGCTTCATAAATCGGCGGACCCATGATGGCGATCCCTTGAATTGCACCCTCGCGAGCTTAGAGCTTTCACGCAGATTCACTCCGCTGTTATGAGTAGGTACCCTAGCGTTTCCAGCTCGGGGAGTACTGCAGTCCGTCCACGAAACAAAGTTTTTTTTTGGGGGGTAGCTGCAGGATGTCATGTGCTGCTTTTGGCTCCTCCAGTATCGTACGCTTTTCTCCAATGCACCGAATTCCCATTGTGCTGCCAGGTTGCCGTGCGCTTTGGCATACTCAACAATTTTTTTTTCTTAAAGCCTATTGTAAACTGCCGTTGACTAGCACTAATTTCTGAAGGAAATAGGAAAAAGAAAACAGCAGACTGACAACAGATAACAGAGGCAAAATGGTGTTGCTAGAACAGTGTAGGCTTTGCTTAGCCTTGCCCAACGGCGCCGCTGCTGATGCTCACGATGGCAATGGAGGCTTTCAACTTTTGCTGCCCATTTTTGCGAGACTACCAGATTTTTTTCTGCCAACGATTGATATACAAGACGAGGGTCAACTTTTCATTGCACTTTTTCTATTCAACCTATATTCCGGTTCTTACAGTACGTGTGCCTGAAAATTTAGTTATTGATTACATTAACTAATCCTCAGCTACCTTCCTCTATTGCATTTCCTTTCGGTATGTATTGCCTTAATGCTACATTAAAGGAGTAACGACACCTTTTTTTTTGGAGGCGAGCTTACTCTGCCATACAAATCTCCTGTATACAGAGATGGCTGTGAACAGGTGTGATACTCGGCAAATGCTGATAAGATGTATTTTTATTTTGATATTACAGTCGAATTTCTCGCAGTGCACATATTGACATCGACACTAACTTGACATCAGGCTACAGTACTAATCCTGGTGACTTCACACAGCAGTCTACCAAATCGTAATGACGTCAAACGCCAAAAGACAAAAATGGCACTTGTGCGTCGCCCCCTCGACCGTCTGCTACAGTGCTCTAATAAATCATTATCAGCATCTGCCAGAAGACGCCTACTGCAGGACAAAGGCCTCTACCTTGCTCCACCAGTCGACTCGGTCGTGTGCTTGCTGCTGCCACTTCATACCCGCAAACTTCCTTATCTCATCTGCCCATCTAACTTTGTCTCCCCTCAATTGCCTTCTCTTGGAATTCAGTCTGTAATCCTTAATGACCTGCGGTTATCTTGCCTTTATCTTGCCTTCAAGCTATGTGCTCTGCCCACGACCATTTCTTCTTCTTGATTTCAGCTATTATATCCTTAACCCCAGATATCCTTTCCGCTTTAATAAATAATGATTAATATGTTGGGTTTAGCGTTCCAAAACCACCATATGATTATGAGAGACACTGTAGTGGAGGGCTCCGAAAATTTCGACCACGTGGGGTTCTTTAACGTGCACCCAAACCTGAGCACACGGGCCTACAACATTTCCGCCTCCATCGAAAATGCAGCCGCCGCAACCGTGATTCGATTCCACGACCTGCGGGTCAGCAGCCTAGTACCTTAGCTACCAGACCACCGCGGTGGGGCGCTCTAATAAATAAAAGGCTGCAAATGGAGGTGCCTCACCTTGAGACCGTGGGACTGGTGTGACCAGAAGTGCGAGCGACGCCATGCACACTGGCGCCACCACTTGAAGAACCTGGTTGCCGTAGTGATACAGCATCATCTCAGGCACGGCCGTCTTCACCGTGTCGGCCTCTATCCGCAGCAGGGCACCAGGTGCCTTGGCACCAGCTTCGGCTACAACCGGGAGCACTGCGCTCGCGTCGGCCGGTGCCAATTCGATGGTGCCTTCTGGCGTGAGCCGGAACATGTTGGAGTGCAGCCGGACTTCGCGACGGAGCCAGCTCACTGGATTTGTCTGGTTGCTGTTTCCTCCTGGAAAATGGGTAACATTGATGCTCATGCTAAACTTCACGATTTATTGTGCAAAAGAGGATAACGCAGAAACTCCACCAAAACCATGACGGGAATACAAGGTATGCCATAAAGTGGGACTCCAGATTAACTGGAACCACGAAGGATCACCTGACAGCCACATAAATAGAGGTACTGCCTTTACACGATTGCAAGTCAACTTGAAATAGGTTAATCCCCCATATGGCACGAAAAAAAAAAAAATGAACGTGTGAGCACGTTCGATAAATGAAACTGATTTACGTAGTCTCTGGACTGACTACACGTTGCCCAACTCCACAGTTGGAGTCGGCGCCTGTTGTGTCGCCCGCACATCTCTCCCCTGTTTTTGTAAAAAGTAGTGTTGTAACATTTTAAGTAAGAACGCATCGCCAAATAGCCCCGCAAGGCGCTTAGGAAAGTCGAGACAAAAAGAAACAAAATCCGACAAACTATGACGGTTTCAGCTCAATGCTCCGAAGCTACGTAAAAAAGTTCGCTTTGTAGCAACATGCGAAGATCATTTTCAGAAAATTTTCATTGTACTTAAACATTGCCATCTATGAAGCACATTAAGAACTTTAGATTCAATAGATGTAAATAAATACAGTTCAGCTTCTGCAATGCCTCATTTTTGATGAGAAAACTAAAGAACCCCTCCAGCACTTCTGTGCAGCTAAAAGACTTTCATGTAGCTATCTCACATTAATATGCTAGGGGATTCTCTGCAACAATTTTGTATGATAAGGCTTTGAAGTGTGCAAAAAATATTCGAAAAATATATGAGAAATATTTGATTTGATTCGCACTCGCACATTAACATTCGAATTCGCTTATCAACAAAAATTCGGCTATTCACACAGCTCTTTTTATCATGTTAGGTAAATTATTACAAGTAATTCCTGGCTACTTCTAGATTTTTACATTGGTTTAGGCATTGTCAGTCTATTCTGCACTATTTTTGGGCATTGTCAGCCCTGTTACATTCTCATATTGACCACTGTACGACCGTATGGCATGAGACAGTTGATAGACAAGCCAGATCCCCAAAGTGTCTAAAACTTTGCAGACAAGTGCTGAATCTGACAAACGAGAGTTGCCCTTTCGCTAACACTCATTCACAAAAGACCGCAGCACCCTCGCAATAACCAGAGCACCGACCTTTAAGGTGCACGAGGGCACCCAGGCGCTGCACCAGCTCTCGCAGCCAGAGCACCTCGTCGGCCAGATCGTGAAGCATGACCCGCGGTGGCAACAGGCCGCGGCTGCGCTGCTGGCTCACGCGCGCCTGATAGCAGAGGCACAACAGGGGGAAAGCCGACAGGGCCAGGGACCTGTGGTGAGCCCGGACCACCCAGTGGGCGAGGCGATTGCACACCGCAGTTTCTTCGGGGGTCACGTGGGTCTCAAATCTGGCAAGGACGAGGAGAGAGAGACATTAAATGGGCACTAAAGAACAAAATGATTTTTCACGTAATGCAGTATAGACCACTTATAACGTACGTCGTGGGAGTCGCGAATATCCACACTATAAGCGGCACCGCACTACTATAACAAAAGCAACATTTTTCAAGGGTCGCACTTCAGCAAGACGTGTTGAACATGATGCCTCGCGTATTTGAGAATTGAAGCATACGATGCGTGGTGCTTACAACAATTTATATTTCAATTAAATTTAATTTACAACTGTGAGGAAAAAGATGGATACATGCGGAAGCGCATTGCCATCGCCTGGCTCGCTCGGCTGTTCGCTCCCTGGCTACACTTTGCCTGCTGCTGCTGCTATCTTCCCGGTCGCTGTGTACCGCAATAAACCCCCATAACATAACCGTTAAAAGAACCCAACATCGAAAGACACACTTTCATTAACTTTTTCATTAACAATATGCATCTTTTCCTGTCAAGTGCAACGACTGCAAAGAGTTTCGTTTATTCCATACCAAATCGTAACTTAGCACGTGACTGCTACCGAAATGCAACCAACTCTGATTAGGCCAAGCCTGCCGTTCAGGTGTCATGGTAACTTTGTCTAATACATGAATATCGAGTGTCGAAAAGATCACACTCAAACACTAAACCCAGAAAAATGTGTGTGATACAAAGTTTGTGTTCGGACCGGGAGATCAACAATGACGAAAACCCACAAAGCTTACGTAAGACAGCACATTGGTAGGAAAGGCAGAACCTTGCATCATAAAGTTGTAGAAGGTTTTAATTAGCTATCCCACTATAACCAATATTTCATTTTAAAGGACTGTACAATAAACGGTATGCGTATACATAGTGTTCTATGGAAGAGTCAAACGGGTATCAAAAAAAGACCACATTGTAACCGGTTCCGCAGTGATGCGGTGACAGTAACAGTGAAAGGTTCCGCGGTGACAGCAGTGATGCGGTTCCGCGGTGAAGCGGTGACAGTAAAACCACGTTACTTCGGACTTCACGGGACCCGGGAGAATGTCCGAATTAACCGAGGGTACGAAGTATCACGAGTACGAACAAAACAATTGAAAAATGTCTCCTACACAATCAAACTTCTATTTCTTAAAAAATTCTGTGATCGCGGTTTGCTTCACGAGGGCAATGTGCAAAGAAGTCACAATTCAGCTTCTGCATTGCGTCATTTTCGATGAGACAACTAAAGAACACCACCCCTCTAGCACTTCACCAACGTAGGTAGCTCAAAGACTTTCATGCAGCTATCTCACACGAATATGCTAAGGAATCCTCTGCAACCATTTTGTATGATATTGCTTCGAAGTGTGCGAAAAATATTCGATAAATATATGAGAAATACTTGATTTGATTTGCACTCGCACTTTAACATTTGAATTCGCTTAGCAACCAAAATTCGGCTATTCGCACAGCTCTTTTCATCATGTTAGGTAAATTATTACAATTAATTTGTGGCTATTTCTAGAGTATAGGCCTTGTTAGTCTATTCTGCACTAGTTTTGAGCATCGTCAGGCCTGTTACATTCTCATATTGACCACTGTACGACCGTATGGCATGAGACAGTTGATAGACAAGCCAGATCCCCAAAGTGTCTAAAACTTTGCAGACGAGTGCTGAATCTGACAAACGAGAGTTGCCCTCTCGCTAACACTATTCACAAAAGACCGCAGCACCCTCGCAATAACCGGAGCACCAACCTTTAAGGTGCACGAGGGCACCCAGGCGCTGCACCAGCTCTCGCAGCCAGAGCACCTCGTCGGCCAGATCGTGAAGCATGACCCGCGGTGGCAACAGGCCGCGGCTGCGCTGCTGGCTCACGCGCGCCTGATAGCAGAGGCACAACAGGGGGAAAGCCGACAGGGCCAGGGACCTGTGGTGAGCCCGGACCACCCAGTGGGCGAGGCGATTGCACACCGCAGTTTCTTCGGGGGTCACGTGGGTCTCAAATCTGGCAAGGACGAGGAGAGAGAGACATTAAATGGGCACTAAAGAACAAAATGATTTTTCACGTAATGCAGTATAGACCACTTATAACGTACGTCGTGGGAGTCGCGAATATCCACACTATAAGCGGCACCGCACTACTATAACAAAAGCAACATTTTTCAAGGGTCGCACTTCAGCAAGACGTGTTGAACATGATGCCTCGCGTATTTGAGAATTGAAGCATACGATGCGTGGTGCTTACAACAATTTATATTTCAATTAAATTTAATTTACAACTGTGAGGAAAAGATGGATACATGCGGAAGCGCATTGCCATCGCCTGGCTCGCTCGGCTGTTCGCTCCCTGGCTACACTTTGCCTGCTGCTGCTATCTTCCCGGTCGCTGTGTACCTCAATAAACCCCCATAACGTAACCGTTAAAAGAACCTAACATCGAAAGACATGCTTTCATTAACTTTTCATTAACAATATGCACCTTTTCCTGTCAAGTGCAGCGAGTGCAAAGAGTTTAGTTTATTCCATACCAAATCGTAACTTAGCACGTGACTGCTACCGAAATGCAACCAACTCTGATTAGGCCAAGCCTGCCGTTCAGGTGTCATGGTAACTTTGTCTAATACATGAATATCGAGTGTCGAAAAGATCACACTCAAACACTAAACCCAGAAAAATGTGTGTGATACAAAGTTTGTGTTCGGACCGGGAGATCAACAATGACGAAAACCCACAAAGCTTACGTAAGACAGCACATTGGTAGGAAAGGCAGAACCTTGCATCATAAAGTTGTAGAAGGTTTTAATTAGCTATCCCACTATAACCAATATTTCATTTTAAAGGACTGTACAATAAACGGTATGCGTATACATAGTGTTCTATGGAAGAGTCAAACGGGTATCAAAAAAAGACCGCATTGTAACCGGTTTCGCAGTGATGCGGTGACAGTAACAGTGAAAGGTTCCGCGGTGACAGCAGTGATGCGGTTCCGCGGTGAAGCGGTGACAGTAAAACCACGTTACTTCGGACTTCACGGGACCCGGGAGAATGTCCGAATTAACCGAGGGTACGAAGTATCACGAGTACGAACAAAACAATTGAAAAATGTCTCCTACACAATCAAACTTCTATTTCTTAAAAATTCTGTGATCGCGGTTTGCTTCACGAGGGCAATGTGCAAAGAAGTCACAATTTTGCGAAGTTGCTGCAGGTGGCTTAGTCCGCACACACTGCCTGAGGAAATCATGCATATGTCCTCTGAAATGGCCAACGCAAGCGCAGCCTCTGTCATTGTGTTGCGTAGACGCTCGTCTGCATCACTTGGGTCTTCGTCAGCAGATTCCCCTTGCCATCCAAGACTTTGGCGACGATACTATTGCAGTTGGTCACTGTGCCGGCCACGGTAACATCGCTGTCAATTGGACGTACCCAAAGGGCACATCAGCTGGCATCAGCTGTGCCGGCCACGGTAACATCGCTGTCAATTGGACGTACCCAAAGGGCACATCAGCTGGCATGATGCTTACATAACGGCTGTCTTGCTCTTCGCCACAAAGGGCACATCAGCTGGCATGATGCTTACATAACGGCCGTCTTGCTCTTCACCACTTTCTTCGTGGCCCACAACACCCGGGTCAGCAGCATTGTGCACGAAACCACTATGCCTAAAGCAGTTGGCAACTCCTTCAGGCGGTGTTGCTTCTTAAAGCGGTTGAACCACCCTTCCGACGCATTGAAAGAGTCAACGTTCATGGTCAGCGCAAACTTCTCTGCTTGTCAGCAGATAAGGAAGCCACTAAAAGGCAAATGGGCATCGCACGAAACTGCAATCCAGCGCAACAGCGCTTCTTCTAGCTTGGGGTGCACTGCTATTTGAAGCCTCTTCCTCTTATCTCCAAATCGCCACTCGCCACCATACACTTGCGTAATCTGGTCTTCGTTCATCGAAAACCATTCAGCATGCTTTTCATCACGTTAAACTTTTCCATGACTTTTTTTTCAGGATGCTCCCGCTTGCAACGCCTTCAATATTTTCACCTCCGCAGCCAAATCCATAGCTTCACCCTTTTCGCTGTGCGGTTCGGGGCGGCTGGGCCACAGGAGACTCAGGGGAAGCCATCCCGGTGTCGCTTGCACGGTGGTGACCCCCACCCTCACATGAAGTAGGCAACGAGCATGGTGATAAAAAAACGGTCAGTTGCCTGTTGGCTTGTTGCTGACAACAACAGCGACAACAGGGTGCCTCCAAGATGCGAAGCTAATTCCTATCCATGAAGGAAGTTTCGAATCGCGGAGGCCACAATCCTATCTCGAAGTTGTTTAGGGGCGCTGTCGATTTGGCTGGCAGAATCCGCTGCTGCATCCCCGTCTGACTGCGGTCGGGAGTGTGAATTAACCATAGCGCGGCCGAATCTGTCCGAATTAATTAGAGTTTTCAGTCAAAGGACGATGCACATTTCGGATGGGACTAGACGCAGGAGCCAAATTAACCAAAATTCTAAATAAACTGGTATAAAATTAACGAGATCTTACTGTACGTTATAAGTGGTCTACACTGTAGTAAAGCACAATTTCACAACCCCGAAAAGACTACTTTTACCGTAACATGAAGCCTGGTAAGCGTGAAAATACGCAAAAATAGAAAATGCGGGTGGAGATGCCACTGTGAAATTCCTGCACCAAACAATGTGACATCATAGATTTCAAAGGTGTCTACTGGGTCCTAAAGCTTATACTCGATAAAAATGAAGTAAATTGTCTCCTGTGGCTGCCATAGACCTAGCATACAGTTTCAGAGGCTACTCAACAATCGACCACATTCATACTATCAATCAAGTAATAGAGAAATGCTCAGAATATAACCAACCACTATACATAGCCTTCATAGATTACGAGAAGGTGCTTGATTCAGCAGAAATATCAGCCGTCATGCAGACACTGCAGAATCAGGGCGTCGATGAAGTATATATAAACATCCTCGAAGAAATCTACAGGGGATCAACTGCTACCATAGTGCTTCATAAAGAAAGCAACAGAATACCAATCAAGAAGGGTGTAAGGCAGGGGGACACAATCTCCCCAATGCTATTTACCGCGTGCTTACAGGAGGTTTTCAGAAGCCCAGAATGGGAACAGTTAGGGATAAGAGTTAATGGAGAGTACCTTAGTAACCTGCGCTTCGCCGATGACATTGCATTGCTGAGTAACTCAGGGGACGAATTGCAACTCATGATTACGGAGTTAGACAAGGAGAGCAGAAAGGTGGGTCTTAAAATGAATCTGCAGAAAACAAAATTAATGTACAACAACCTCGGAAAAGAGCAGCGCTTCGAGATAGGTAATAGTGCACTTCAAGTTGTAAAATACTATGTCTACTTAGGGCAGGTAATAACCGCGGAGCCGAACCACGACATTGAAGTAACTAGAAGAATAAGAATGGGGTGGAGCACATTTGGCAAGCACTCTCAAATTATGACAGGTAGATTGCCACTATCCCTCAATAGGAAGGTATATAACAGCTGTATCTTGCCGGTACTTAGCTACGGAGCAGAAACCTGGAGACTTACAAAGAGGGTTCAGCTTAAATTGAGGACGACGCAGCGAGCAACGGAAAGAAAAATGGTAGGTGTAACCTTAAGAGACAAGAAGAGAGCAGAGTGGATCAGGGAACAAACGGGGGTTAAGGATATCATAGCTGAAATCAAGAAGAAGAAATGGACATGAGCCGGGCATGTAGCGCGTAGACAGGATAACCGCTGGTCGTTAAAGGTAACTAACTGGATTCCCAGAAAAGGAAAGCGGGTTAAGGGGAGGCAGAAGGTTACCGTAATTACTCGAATCTAACGCGCACCTTTTTTCCGGTTAAGCGAGTTTATAAATTGCATGCGCGTTAGAATCGAGTACGAACAAAAAAATTACGGTCAATCTATTGCCATCGGCAAACCCAAAATGGCCGCCCCCTACGTGCGTCGGCATGGCGCGTCGGCCATTTCTGCCTATGTCTTTCCCATGTGCGGCACTTCGTACGTGTGCTGAGGAGTTCGTCATCTAGTAGTGCATTAGCATCGACGGCGTGGAAAGGCCGACTCCAAAAACTCGATAGCACCACGATGCCGCTTTTAAAAGAAAAGTTATGGCGTGTGCAGAAACGGACGGAAATCGGGCCGCATCGCGGTCGTTCGGAGTTCCCGAAACGTGCGTGCGGGACCGGCGGAAACAAAAGCAGAAGATTCTCGACAGCAAAGCTTCACGCAAAGGCTTCAGTGGACCACAGCAGGGTCGGTTTCCGCAAATTTAAGAGCTGCTCGGCAAGTATGTGCTTGAGCAGCGAGCGGCACAGCGGCCCGTGACGACAGAACTGCTCCAAGTGCGGGCTATGCAATTAGTCTTGGAAAAAGGTCTAATGCAGAGCCAGTTTAAAGCGAGCAGGTGCTGGCTAACTAACTTTATTTAGAGGAAAGGCTTTTCCCTCCAAAGGGGAACATGCATATGCGAAAAGTTTTGCGGAGGAGTACGATGAAAAGCTTCACAGTTTTCAGAGGTTCGTCCTAAACTTGCGGCGCAACAACGGCTACCTGCTTGGGCAAATCGGGAATGCCCATCAGACGCCTCTTTACTTCGACATGCCTGGCACCACAACCGTCGAGAAGGGCGCGAAGCAAGTTCGCGTGCTGACATCGGTCCACGGTAAAACTACCGTGACGGAAGCTCTGTTACACGTCAGATGGGCACAAGCTTCGCCCGTACCTCATATTTAAATAGAAAACGCTCCCGAAAGGAGTAGTTTTTTCGAGTGGTGTGATCGTGCGGGCCGGCGAGAAAAATGGGTGCGCGTTGCAATTGATGTCTTACGTTTTTTTTTTTTTTTCGCGGTGGAAATCGGGTGCGCGTTACAATCGAGGGCGCGGTAGAATCGAGTAAATACGGTAGGTGGGCAGATGAGATTAAGAAGTTTGCGGGTATAAACTGGCAGCAGCAAGCACAGGACTGGGTTAACTGGCAGAACATGGGAGAGGCCTTTGTCCTGCAGTGGACGTAGTCAGGCTGATGATGATGATGATGATGACAGTTTCAGAAAACTTAATTGAGCCAATGTTGTGAAAATACGAAGAATACATTTTGAAATTTTTGACATCAAGTGTGGAGATTTCGAGTGAAATTTTAAAAATGAAACTTCAACCTTGATTTCCTCTGCTAATATTGACCTTATGATAGTGAAACATATGGCATTAGGGTTCTCAGACTACAGTTTGTCAATCAAAACCCAGTCACCTTTCTGCTTAGTATCCCTTCAAAATGAAGATGGCAATAGTATAAAAAGCTAGCGTGAAGTGTGCATGCTTTCCTCCCTTCGTGTTTCCCTGAAGTTCGCCACAAGACAATGGATTCACAACTAGCATCACCGCAACATCTTCCTAAAAGGTTATCACTATTGTAAGCACAAGCGATCACAGACCTAACAACTTAATGCAGTCCAGTTGCACAGTGCAATAGAGTTAGAGCGATAGCTTCAAGAGGTACCACCTGCCCAAAGCCACCCACCTAGGGTGCCTGCTGTGCACAGACCGATCAACCGACCGACCGCAGAACTGCCGGACCGACATGGGCGAGCCAAACTTGATGAAGATGTTGCCGTAGTCGTCGTTCAGGATGCCCCTAGCCTTCACCAGGCCCTGCACCAGATTGAGAGAACACAAACAATGTCTTGGTCACAAGTGTTCCTTCTTCTGTAATTTTTTCAATGAAGTCCATGTAATGAAAGTTAAAGGAGTATTATGATCTTCCAGTGTTATTCTCCCAGCTACAAGCAACCCGTAATGTGTTTCTCAATATCAATGCTTTCCGATTCTGAGAAAAGTTTGTCCTGGTACTGAATTCGAATCCAGGACCTATGCCATAATGGGGCAGTCAGCCTGTTTTTTCAGCTAATTGGGAAACTAGCAGATTACAGCTCAAAACACTAAAAGGCCCTCTTTCTTAAAAACACACATAAGATTCCTTAATAGCTTCAAGCCATAAATCAGTTGAGAAATCTTACATTCCATTACCTCCCTCTACCTTGCAAGCTTTGACAGAAATAGTATATATAAGTATTACCAGAGTAAATCCAAATGCAAATAAGATGAAAACAAATACCGCACTACATTTCGAGATTTGCCCGTCTTTAGTCTATATGTTAGTCAAGGGACACAAAACCGCGCCTAAAAACGGGCAACACAGCAGTGAGTGCGCAATAGACCCTCGTATTATCACACAGCTGTGGCGGTGAGGAAAGCAGTCTTAGCCGGTGAAGACCAAACTCTTTCTTGCACAAACGTGTGCCTAGTAAAAGAATACTGCTCAGTATATCAAAGAATGATACTCAATGATACTAAATGAAACAACACTCGCCGCAGTGGTCAAGTGATTATGGCGTTCGAGTACAACTTGCTGGTTATTGTAGCGAATCCCAGCCCCAGTGGCTCCATCTTCCATGGAGGCAAGGAAGCTTGAGGACCGTGTGCTTAAATTAGGTGCACGTTAAGAGCCCTAGGTAGTGGAAATAGCCAGGGCCCTGCGCTACGGCATCTCTCGTAAACATATTGTATTTTTGAGAGGACAAACGCCAACAATTATTAAAGTGCAACAATAAGAGCCGACTCTGTTATCGGTCGCCGAATAAGCTGATCAGTTCCAAGGCGCATTGGCATTTATAGATGTGGCATCAAAGATGCCAGTGTCATCATTGGCAGCCGTGTTAGTTACAGAATAAACTCTCCTGTTAGCGTTGTGTACACAGTCGTATCGGAAGATCCTAAATTAAGGGTAGATGCTACTCGAAGACACTTTTTTGTTTAATATTCGCCCTAGAGCAATGAAACTAGAGCTGTTTATGGAACTTTTTATGCTGATTTCAAATATATTGATACGTAACAGCCACTAAACACGGCTGCATGAAAGAGGAGTACGAAATGAGATTTCGTTTGATGCTGGACTGGCGCCATCTTGCTCGTCGAGTTCTGTGCACTGTAAATAGATCATTAAACAAGTTACTCGTGACATTATTGGTGAAAGTGGACGACCCCAGTACCTCGTTGGAGACGCGCAGCGGTCGCACCATCAGCGACCTTTCAACTGCTTCGACTGCTGGTACTTCCTCTACGCCGCCCTCATCAGTCCAAGCCACCACCTACGTCACACTCCCGCACCTCCGGGATCCCAGCACTTTCTCCGGTGCGGTGATGGTACGATTGATCTTGACACTTGCTGAACCGGTACGAGCGCGTCAGTGCTACTCACCGCTGGGATCCCACGCTCATGCTCGCCAACGTGCTTTTCTACCTGGACGGCACTCCCGAACATGGTTTGAAAGCCACGAAGCCGACATAACGAGCTGGGATCTCTTCAATGAAAAGATACGCGACCTGTTTGGCGATTTATCTCGTCATCAGCTCGCTGCGAAGAAGACTCTTGCCACACGGGCCCAGTCTTCTACCGAATCTTACGTCTCCTACATTCTTGACGTCTTGGCCCTTTGTTCCAGGCTGACCAGTCGAAAACCAGGCGACCAAGACGAAAAGGTTAACCACGTCTTGAAAGGCATTGCTAACGATGCTTTCAACCTGCTGGTTTTTAACAACGTCTCGAGCATCGACACCATCTTAAAGAATGCCGACGTCTCGAACAAGCTAAAGCCCGCCGCGTAGCCCAAAGCATCGTGCGCCTTCCGAACACAGTGGCCACTTCTTCGTGCGACGACGCCTTCCACCAGGCCCCTCGATGTGACAACCTTACACGCATCATTCGTCGAGAGGTCGAGGCAGCACAACCGGTATCCACGCCTTTACCGACGCGTGCGCATTCCCCGACCCTGATCTCTTTGATACAAGCGGTCGTTCATAAAGAGCTATCGAATGTCGGCCTACATCCTGTTCCTGCCGTATACTCTGCTGAGCCTTCTTATCGTCCCCCTTCTGCTCCTCGCATACAACGCAATCTGTCCGAATGGCGTACTCTTGATGACAGGCCCATATGTTTTAAGTGGCGACGCGTTGGTCGTATCGCTCGTCACTGCCGCAGCCGCTGGGCTCCTCAGTATCACGCCACTTCTGTTCGCCAGTCGTCCCCATCACTTTTTCCATCAACGCCGACCACATTTTCCGCTCCTGCAGCACCTCTGAGCAGACCTCGCTACCACCGGTAATCGTCCCCTGCTCGTCGTCAGTCCCGGTCGCCCCCACAACGCCGTGCTGCCTCCCCGACCTATTCGCAGCACCTCCGACTGGAAAACTAGGCCGTGCAGCTTCTGGAGGTGAAGCTGCGTTGACGACCATCATAAGAAATCCTCGTTTAACATTAACGATGAACCGGAACCTTTTGGACGTTACTGTGGACAATGTTCGTGTCAGCGCATTGATAGATACTGGCGCGCATGTGTTCATTAGGAGTGCTAACCTTCGCCGCCAACTTTAAAAAGTTGTCACGCCCGTTCTCACCGAGCTGTACGAGTCGCCGATGGAGGAACTGCCGCAATTCTTGGCATGTGCTCTGCGCAAGTGTCTATTAGGGAGAGAAGCACTGCCGTTCTTTTCGCCGTTATCGAACATTGCCCTCATGAACTCATTCTCGGTATGGATTTTCTAGCCACGCACTCTGCTCTCATAGACTGTTCAGCTCGCTCTCTCCATCTCGATTTAACCCTCTTTTCCGACCCAACCAGCCCACCGCAAGCCAGCCTCTGCTGCATTGATTTCACGCGCCTCCCGCCTAACTCTGTCACACGTGTCGACTTGTCCTCCACGCCGCGAGTACCTGATGGTGATTACATGGTGGCCCCGATTCCTGCCGTGATGCTTACGCATGGGGTTGCTGTGCCGCATATAATTCTGACAATTACGAGAAACCGCACCTTCCTTCCACTGGTCAACTTTTCACTCACCACCCAAGTTCTACCACAGGGTATCTCCCTGGTCAAAATTACCGCTCTCCAAGATGACCATGTCGTGCCCTTCAGAGTTGACGATTGCTGCAGCTCAGTCAGTGGTTCCACTACATCACGTTCTCGGGGCGCCGACATCAAGCGAATGGTGTCATCGGACCTCACGTCTGAGCAAGCTGCAGCGCTTTGCCACGTTCTTGAGGGCTATCGTAGCATTTTCGACTTTGCCAGCAACTCTTTAAGCCAAACGACCATTGTCACCCATCGCATAAATACTGGCCATGCAACTCCCATTCACCGACATCCCTACCGTGTCTCTGCGTCAGAGCGTGCAATATTACAACATTAAGTCGGCAAAATGCTTGCGAAAAACATTATCGAGCCTTCATGCAGCCCCTGGGCTTCTCCAGTCGTCCTCGTTAAAAAGAAGGATGAAACATGGTGCTTTTGTGTTGATTACCGTCACCTCAAGAAAGTTACAAAAAAAGACGTTTATCCTTTACCTCGCAACGACGACGCCCTCGACTGCCTGTACAGTGCTACTTATTTTTCAACTATTGACCTTCGGTCAGGGTACTGACAGATAGCGGTCGACGAGATGGACCGCGAGAAGACCATGTTCATCACTCCTGATGGCCTTTATCAGTTTAAGGTGATGCCCTTTGGTCTCTGCAATGCACCAGCCACATTTGAAAGAATGATGGACTTATTGCTCCAAGAGTTGAAACGGTCCACCTGCTTGTGTTACCTTGACGATGTTATTGTCTTTTCGCCCACATTCGACTCGCACCTCGATCGTTAGTCAGCTATTCTGGACGTTTTTTGTCGAGCCGGACTCCAGCTTAACGCCTCCAAGTGCCACTTCGCTCGCCGTCAAATTTCCATGCTCGGTCATCTTGTCGATGGCCAAGGCGTGCGTCCAGACCCATAGAAAATTCGCACAGTCACGAACTTTCCTGTTCATAAGACCATAAGGGATGTCCGCAGTTTTGTGGGGTTGTGCTCATATTTCAAACGCTTTGTTAAGGACTTTGCGACCATTGCACGCCCCCTCACAGACCTCTTGAAGAAAGACTCCTCGTTTTATCTAGGGCCATGACCTAGCGTCATCGTTTTCCCAACTTACGACACTGCTTACAATGCCACCAATTTTGGCTCGCTTTGATTCATTAGCCCCAACCGAGGTTCACATGGACGCCAGTGGACACGGCATGGGAGCTGTGCTATTGCAGCAACAACGGGGACACGACCGTGTTACAGCCGACGCAAGTCGACTGCTACCTCCAGCCGAGCGCAACTATTCCATCACGGAGCGCGAGTGCCTCGCCCTTCGCCAAGTTTCATCCATACCTGTACGGGCGCTCATTCCGTGTTGTCACGGATCATCACGCGCTCTGCTGGCTAGCCTCCTTGAAGGACCCCAAGGGACGTCTCGCTCGTTGGGCCCTATGCCACGTTGGGCCCTACGTGAATTTCATTTTTAAATTTAAAGAGAGATATGCGCAAGTGACATCCAAAATCTCAAAACGTATTTTTCGTATTTTCGTGTCGCTGGTTTGATGAAACTTCCTGAAGTTTCGTATGCTAGCTCTACGGCACCTACAGATGAGAATGTAGTTCAATTTCATTGATTACAAGCTATGTAGGACCCAGTAGACACTTTGAAAATTTTTGAGGTAGCGGTCCGTCTGTCTGTCTGTTTCTTCGACCATCCGTCCTTCCATCAAGTGAACATTCCAAGTACTGCCATCTCGC